GAAAATATATAGTAAAAACCATTGCTGGCCCCACCAAATATGAGTTGAATTTACTTTTAGCTTATTTCTCTCTCTCTCTCTCTCTCTCTCTCTCTCTCTGTGTGTGTGTGTGTGTGTGCGCGCGCGCATGTGTACTGTACACACACGATCAATCACTCCACACATCCAGCACAAAATACACATGAAAATATATGCAATGAAGGGAAGGGAATGGCAAAAGAAAGGAGTTTTCAATCATCTAAGGCAAATATACCTCACTCTGCGCTTATTTTCTAACTTCACCTTTTTCTCTTCACTTCAGCTCCATCATTTTCTGAAAGGTGTATTTTTTAACAACAGTGCAGGGGATAGTGTCTCCTTTGACCAGGATGGGGAATTAGCAGCTGGATTTGATATTATTAATTGGATTTTTTCCTCCAACCAGTCCTTTAGTAAGTTGAAAGTTGGGAGGGTGAATCCGCAGGCTCCTCCAGATCAAGTGTTCACCATCAACAAGGATATCATAACATGGCACAGGGGCTTTAACCAGGTACGGTTGATTGTCAATGACTTGAGAAGCACACTGCATACTCAGTTTTGAAGAAAGATTTCCCTAACTATAGATGTTCGGAATACCACTGGTTTAAAATAATTGAAATGAGTTTAGATTAGCCCAGCAGCAATATACTAACTCCCGACTACCAAGGATTCTCATTACAGTACTGCAACTTCCCCATCTTTTATCAGCTTCAGTTTCTTCACTGACCTTATTTACAGCAAGTGCATAATTTATCTGGAGACTTGATATCAACAGCATAGTTTGCAGTGTAGCAGGGAACTCTTAGCAACTATACAACTACACCTTTCATACCTTTTGTGATAAGGATCCATATTTCTATAACCAAGGGTATTCAGAGCAAATACAGGCCAAAGTGCCTGTTGCACCTCACAGTGGAAAGAGTTGAAAATGAAACTAGTTGGGTGTATCTTTTACTCCCATTATCCCACCTGTCCAGATGAGGAGCAATCAGGATTTCAACATTTCACTGCTGGGTGGGTTGAAGCCAGATAATAGCAGCCTTTATGACAGCTATATAACATTTGGCAGGTCCCCCACATTTTGAGAATTCATAGTTCATTTTCCTTCTGATTATTTTATCCCTTTTTATATTTGGAACATCAGGCCCAGCCTCTTTCTCTATGCACTGAGAGCTGCCATCCTGGTACTAGCAAGAAAGTGAAAGAAGGGGAGCCATTTTGCTGCTATGATTGCATCCCATGTCCAGAGGGAAAGATTTCAGACCAGCTGGGTAAGAAATAGCATGCAGAACCTTATCACAGAGATGCGCCTGACTGCCTTCTCTCCAGTTAGATTCTTAGAAGCTTGGGTAGTTTCTAGAGCACCAGTGAGCAATAATGGATGAAATATTCATAAATCCTGCAATTTTAATATGCAGTTCTCAACCAGTTATATGACCATTGTATTACAATTTATTTGGATTTGCATTTGAAGATAAAAGAACTGTTAAATAGTATTATTCCCTGAGCCTCAAAAAGCTTGTGTCTCTACACACACGAATGCACTCCTCTGATGGACAAGGTATGGAGCTTGAGGGTGCTCTTGGACTCATCAATGCCTGGAGAAGTACAGGTAGTGATGGTGGCCAAGAGTGATTTGTTGCAAGCTCTGACTGGAATGCCAGTAGCAGGTCAAATTATTTCCATGCCAATACACTTAACATGGAACTGGAGAGGATGCAAAATGTGACTAGAAAACCAAACACAAATCTAATTCAACACCACTAAGTTTCCAGGTCCACACAATGCAATATTCACATGGCTATTTTGCTTAGCGAATAAAACACTACTGGGTTGCTGCCACCAGAGCTAGATGTGGAACCCCATCACATGACTATTTTGAAGACATTTTAGAAAGTTCAAGTAGATTAGAAGGGTAATTATAGAGAAAGATACATTGGCCAGGTCTCCCCTTGATTCAACAAGCTGGTTTGGGCTATTAAAAAGCCTACATTAGATTTGGCTAGTGGGCTGGATTGTTTTCTGAACTGCCTCCTTATGTGACAACAAGGACATGGGTGGTGCTGTGGTCTAAACCACTTAGCCTCTTGCTGATTGTAATGTCGTTAGTACAAATCCACACGACAGGGTGTGCTCCTGTTGCTCTATCCCAGCTCCTGCCAACCTACCATTTTGAAAGCATACCATTGTGAGTAGATAAATAGGTACAGCTGTGGTGGGAAGGTAAACAGCATTTCTGTGTGCACCAGAAGTGGTTTAGTGATGCTGGCCACATGACCCAGATAGCTGTTGGCAGACAAACGTCGGCTCCCTCGGCCTGAAAGTGGAGATGAATGGCACACCCCATAGTCAAGTTCAACTGAACTTAACCATCCAGTGGTCCTTACCTTTACCTTTTACCTTCCCTTCCCTTTTACCTTACCCTTCCCTTACGTGACAAGTTTGACAAGTAGGGGAGGGGGGAATTCATCACTCAGTCAATGCTATCACAATGTTTTCAGATGACCCAATTTTCCAGGATGAATTATTAGCTAATCCTCATTACAAAGCAGAGCACATGAAAGTTCAAACTATCAGTTCTGCACGGGACTGATTAGCACTGCTTACAAATTCTCATTGACCCAGCCTCATCTTTACCTGATTTATCTCAGATGTACAGCAGGTAGATAATTAATCATAGACTCATGGAGTTGGAAGGGACCATGAGCATCATCTAGTCCAACCTCCTGCAATGCAGGAATCTTTCACACAATGTGGGGCTTGAACCCATGGCCATCAGGTTAACAGTGAAAGTCCTGTGAACTAAACACAGAGGTCTGGTGAGCCAAGATGACCATGGGCGAGAGGTTCCCCACCCATGCTATAGATGAACTTGATCTCAATTCTATCAGAAAGAATTTAGCTCATATACAGTTAAGAACAGTGGGAAGAACATTATATGTCATTGTGCTTTCTGATATTTTTACTTTTTGAGATGAAGACTATATCTTTTCTTTCTCAGATATGAATGACTGCCATAAATGCACAGAGGGAAATTATCCAAACAGAAACCAGAATTCATGCATTGTCAAGCATATAAGCTTTCTGTCTTACAAGGAACCTTTGGGGCTTACTTTAGCCTCTCTTGCTTTTTGCTTTTCTTTGATTGCAGCTTCAGTGCTTGTAATATTTTTGAAACTCCATAATACTCCAATTGTCAAAGCAAACAACCGGGAGCTCACTTATACTCTCCTCATCTCCCTCCTGCTCTGTTTCCTTTGTGTTTTGTTGTTCATTGGACAACCTAATAAGGTGACCTGTCTCATCCGACAATCTGCTTTTGGCATCATCTTCTCAGTGGCTGTATCTTGTGTTCTGGCAAAAACCACCACAGTAGTTCTGGCTTTCATGGCCACCAAACCAGGATCCAAAATGAGGAAATGGGTGGGGAAAACACTGGCCAATTCTATTGTTTTCTCCTGCTCCCTTATTCAAGCAAGTATTTGTATTTTATGGCTAGCAACATCTCCACCATTCCCAGATGCTGACAGACATTCAATAATGGATGAAATTGTACTAGAGTGTAATGAAGGATCTGCGATTATGTTCTACTGTGTCTTGAGCTACATGGGCTTCCTGGCAATTGTCAGTTTAATTATAGCATTCTTTGCTAGGAAGCTGCCTGACAGTTTTAATGAGGCCAAGTTTATCACTTTCAGCATGTTGGTCTTTTGCAGTGTTTGGTTGTCCTTTGTTCCAACTTACCTGAGTTCTAATGGAAAATACATGGTAGCCGTGGAAATCTTTTCAATCTTAGCCTCCAGCCTTGGCTTGCCTGGTTTGCATCTTTTCCCCAAAATGTTATATAATTGTGCTGAGACCTGAGCTGAACAACAAGCATCAGTTAATCAGAAGAAAATCTGAAGGGGTTTAGTCATGTGTGCATTTTGTTAAATCTGTGTATTATGTGTGCATTTGCAACATTTTGCAAAAATTTTGCATCTTTACCTTGAGGCCTAAACTGAATAATAATAACTTGCATCTAATAAGAGGGAAGTATTGAAGAATGCAAATGTTTGTTCATTGAGCTTTACTTTGCAATCCAGGGAGGAGAGGCTAAAAGCCCTGAGTTTCCTCTTAACCATTGCTTGATACAACTTTCTCAAAGCTGACCTTTGTTTTAATGTCCCATTGGAAAACTGAATCAAAATTAAAGGAAAACGCCTGGGCACGCACGTACGCACATGCACACACTACAGAAATTATCCTCAGGTGGTTTCTAGTGACCAGATGAGGGAAACATGCATTGCCTACTATGAGGCAAAGCGAGGTGGAAGTTTGCCATGTCTCCCTCTCATGCAAGAAGTAAAACCAGTCTTTCAATCTTTCCAGAAAAATCATTTCCAAATCAGTCAAATCCCATGTTCAAGGATTTAAATCTCCCCTCTGGCTCTATGGCAAGAACATTTAATTCTAATGTATTTTCCTTGCTTTGGGTCAATCCAAGCCTACATCACAATTTCCTATTCCAACTAAGTACAAAATCAAAAATTCTGTTAACATACAACAAAAAATTATTTTAATAAGAAATGCTACATAGAATCCCTACGTTTGACTTGGTGGGTTCCTTAGCCTTTAATTATCATAAAGGTTGTAATTAACTTGGATGTTTGTCTCAAAAAGCAGACACAAAAATACCAAATCACTAGGGACATTCAGTTAACAGTAAAAACAACTGTCAAAAAAACCCTCCCTCATGTGAAGGATAATTCCATAAATATATGCTCTATATTTCAGATACAGGTCTAGGGACTAGGGACAGGAGCACATATACCAATAATGTCACTAATATTTGAGTTTAGGGATCTAGATTTCATTATTGATAGAAGACTATATGAACATTCAGATCAGAGCATTGCAATCATAGAGATGTTCCTGAAAGTGTTATAGATGGAACTGGGAAATCTGCATATATAAAGGAATGATTAGCATATGTAATCAGTATGGTGATACTAGTGACTTTGCTTCTGGTAATGCTTCCTCAAATGGCATGCAAGGCTCACATTCTTAAGTGCAGGTTCCAATATCCACACCAACCTTTCCACAAATATCATCAGGATGGAGACCTTATAATTGGCGCCATTGCTTCTCAGAGCTTCATTGTCTCCAGTTCAATAGACTTCACAGAAGAACCCCTCCCAACACTACATGAAGAGTTTATGTAAGGAATTATAAGTTTATTTTCATTTTCATTTACTTCCTTTTCACCCTTTCTTGGGGGGGGGGTATCAAAGTGAGGTCAGATCCAGGACCTTACCTTAATTGTGTACAGCCCCATAAGATGTGCTAGTATCCCTGTAAAAGAATGGGTCTTCGGCACCAGAGAAAGTGCATTTATCCCTTTCTCACATGCCATTTTCTAAATCTGAGCTAACTATCCTTGTAGCATGTGAAGATGCACTATTTGAAAGGGGGGCAGTGTTCTGAATCTGATTTCTCCATTTTAACTCCTATTAACATTTTAAAAACTAAATTACATTCTGCTCAAGGATTTTGCCCCATACCCTGTAAGAGAAAACCCATAAACAGTTGCATTTGCTGTAAATATCACAACTTTGTAAATGAGTGTAGAAGATCTGGAGAAAAGCAACAAAAGTGGGGAATGAACTCGTGTGGGAGACAAAGAGCATACTCATGCCTTTTACTCATCACTGTTCAACAGCCCAGCTCACTTTCAGCAAATGAAAGCAGCTGCTACCATCTAATTCTTCATGTCAAAGACCTGCATATTAAAGTGTATTAGTTCCTCCATCCAGTTTTATTACATTTTCTTCAGAGGCAGATTTAGGGGAGTGCAACTGGACTGTGAATGGGGTACAGGAGGCAGTGTACATGGCCCTTCACCAAAATTTCTGGGTGCCCAGCCCCTTCATGGGGAATTTTGTGGGTGCTTGGGCACCCAGGGAGTGCAGTCAGGGAGTTGGCACCTGTACCTATCTGTTTTAGGTAAATTCAATAAAAAAAATTAAATAATAATACATTGGGTGATGAATGCTGCTAGTAGAATAGATCACAATTGCAAAGGGTAGATAAGTGTGAAATAGGTTAATTTCTTGCAGTCTACTCTAAATGGTAATTTGCGAAGTATCTATAGCACACCGCATCTTTTGACGAAATCATTGATACTATCATCTGCTCAATATTCTGATATATCACTTTAGAATAAGATTAATTCAATAAAGGATGTCTATATGCTGTAATTGTAAAGAAAGGCAGATTTTAAAGAGTGGCATTTTGTCATTGTTATATTTTTGTGATACAAAATTCAGCTCTCTTTTCCTAGCATAGTACCAAAGAATTACCAGCATATCCTGGCCTTGGCCTTCGCAGTAAAGGAGATAAATGAAAACATTATGATCTTGCCCAATGTCACCTTGGGCTTCCACATTTATGACAGCTATTTCAGTGCAAAGTCAACCTACCATGCCACAATGCTACTTACATCTACGCTGGAGAGATTTGTCCCCAATTACATATGTGATGTCAGGAATAATCTAATAGCAGTCATTGGGGGACTGGACTCCCATATCTCTCTTCATGTGGCAAATGTTTTGGATATTTACAAGATTCCACAGGTAAAATGTATGTCTTGTGGTTGTAGTTGTTTTGTTCTAGCAGCACAGAGTGCATGGCAAAGAACAGATAAGGCAAGTCCACACCCCAAGGAACATCCTGTGCAAAATGGATGCAGAGCAATGGGTTAAATTGTGACATAGTTAGAAAGGGGAATAATATGTGATGAACTCTGTTACTCATACTTTTTCATAGTTGCAGTAAGGACAAGGGAATGTTCGAAAAGCTTCCTGGAAAAGGTGAAATTTGAGGATGAAATTACGAGAGATAAAGAAGGTTGTTGCATGCAGGAAAGCACAAATGAATCATGGGGGGGGGAGAGTTTCAGTAAAGAATATTTTTGAATGACTGCAGGTGATGATGCTCGGAAAGTGATGGTCAAAGGAAGAAGCTACTAAGAGGTCTTTTTTTTGCACTTCAAACAAAACAAAACAAAAATCTCTGGAACTCCAACTACCTCTGTTCATAGTCTTTTTGTTTGCTTGCTTGTTTCACTTCTTTCTTTCCCCCCCAAGAGAAAATATTTTTTTTAATTTTTGATTTTGACAAAATAATAATAATAAATAAATAAGAATAAAAGTGTGCACCCCACCACCAAGACCATTCCATTGTAAGTATCCAGCCTCCCCAAATTTCAACACCTCTTGCAATGGTTTGACCCCTTTCCATTTTAACAATACAAATTCTACAAACACCTTCCACAGGTCCTCAAAATAATCTCTCCTGTGTATTCCCCTTCTTACCTTAATGGCACATGTTAATTTATCCTTAATAGCTATATCCCACATCTCTTTATGCCATTCTTCCATTTTATATTCTGCTTGCCCCTTCCACTTCCTAGCTATCACAATTCTTGCAGCTGTCAATAAATTTGTGAGCAAGTCCTTTATAGCCTGCAAACCTTCCACCCCATTGTAAATTGATAATAATGCTACCTCCGAACTTTCAGCCAGCTTTAACCCAGTGATTTCTGTTATCTCCTTAAACACCCTTTGCCAGAAAAATTGTACATATTTACACCCCCACCATATGTGAAGATAATTTCCAATTTCCTGGCATCCCCTCCAACATAACACCAAATATTCCTTGTTTATTTGATTTAATCTGGCTGGTGTTAAATACCATCTCCAAACTAATTTCTAATAATTTTCTTTTATTCTTATAGGTAACATTTTCAATGCACAATTCTCCCATATTTCCCCTCAGCTTTGACAATCTATCTGCCCTGTTGTCTCCTTTCCCCTCACCTCTGTTAATTGATCTTCTTGATCCTCCATTTCTACTAATATTTTATAAATTTCACTGGTTTCCCCTTTTATAACTGTATTTTCTTCTTTATCTCCCCCTTTATAATCCCCCCCCAATTTTGTATATTCTTTGCAGTTCTTGTTTTCCCTTAACCACTTCTTTGACAATTGCTCCAGTTGTACAGTATACACTTAAACCAAATTATTTTACTTTCTGTTAGAGCTTCTCTTATTTGCTTTCTTCCTCCAGCTTTTCCTTACTTTCACTCTTTAATTTATTAAAATTCTCTTGTTACCCGCATATTTTCCAATGGATTTTTGATTGTTTACAAGGTGGCATCTGCAAATAAGCTTATTCTCTCTTTTCCTTTATTGCTTATTTCTTTTATATTTCCACCTTCTCTAATTATATTTGCCAGAGTTTCAATGACCAATACAAATAAAATTGGGGAAAGGGGGGCATCCTTGTCTTGTGCCCCAGGCTAGTGTTATTTGTTCTCTTATACCATCATTCACTACGATGTTTGTAGTCTTATTGGGCTCTTCATGCTCTGTCTCTGTCTCTCTGATGACTGCATTGATTTAACAATGAATAAATGGAACTAATGGGAGTGGTGAAGTGCCCAATCCGAGTCTCCCTTCAATGTGGAACCAATAGATTGCCAAAGGGAAGCCACAGCTCTCTCCATCTCAGTACCAAATATTTAGAAGAAATGTTTAAAGTGTACACCTACTTTGCAGGGTAACTGTAAAGACTATTCATATAAAGCTATGGAATTTCTTTGGATATCTGAGAGTTTTACAGAAATGTTATTATCTTCTTTTCAGTCTCTACTCTTCATTTATCTTTAGCTAATATATAGCCCTGCTCCAGTGATGAAAGATAAGACTCCAGGCCTTCCATTCTACCAGATGGTCCCTAAGGAAGTCATTCAGTATAAGGGGATTCTCTATTTACTTTTGTATTTTGGGTGGAAGTGGATTGGACTCATTGTTATGGATACCTCAGATGGAGAAAGGTTTGTGCAAACTGTGTTTCCAATGTTTTCCCAGAATGAGATCTGTTTTGCTTTTATAGAAAGAATTCCAACATTGACTTTTGTCACAGACATTAAATACGCGATGGAAGATGGTGCAAAAATACATGATAAAATGATGGGCAGCAAAGCCAATGTCATAGTGGCCTATGGAGAATCTTACTCCATGGCTTTTTTCAGATATCTTCCATATCTATCACAGCAAGAAAGCATGGCAAATAAACCAAAAGTGTGGATAGCAACAGCCCAGGTGGAACATACTGCATTTGTTATTCAAAGGACTTGGGATGATGAACTATTCTATGGTGCTCTTGCCTTCAAAATTCACTCCAGTGAACTCCCACTGTTTCACCAGTTTGTTCAGAGCACAAACCCATCCAGCACCACAGGAGATGGTTTCATAAGGGACTTTTGGCAAAATGCCTTTGGCTGTGTATTTCCAAATCAAGCTCCAGATGAACAGATGGAGGATATCTGCACTGGGAAGGAGAAACTGGAAAGTCTTCCTGATTCTTTTTTTTGGGATCAGCATGACTGGTCATAGCTACAGCATCTACAATGCTGTCTTTGTTGTGGCCCATGCTTTACATAAAATGTCATCATCTGTACACAGATCAGTGATGAAGGAAGGTGGACAGACCCTTCACAGCCAACTGCCATGGCAGGTAATGAACTTGACATTGTCAGATAAAACACAATATTATGGAGATGTAGTAGTTCATGAACTGTGACTAAATGTTTGCTGGTTTCCCCCCTGTGGTCTCCATTTCATCTTCATTCCAGAACTGAATTTGTATTATTTTCCTTCCTTGAAATGACAAACAAATTAATTAATTAATTAATTTTTATGGTGGTTGGCTGCTCAAATAAGTCTTAGAAAAATTAAACTTCATTGGAAAATACTCTTTCCTATGAGGTTTCCCTGTTGAGGTGGAGGTAAAGTAATTGTGCACATTTGTGTGCCTGTGGAGGGGATATCTGTGCTATTTAGCATTAACTTTAAGATTAAGAATTGGCCTTTTCTCCTTCCATTTAACACACTCCCACCCCCCAAAATAGCAACAGACTCATAAGCATGCAAAGGTGCAAAGGCATTTATACAAATCTAGAATGTGGCCAAACTTGGAATACTCTATACTCGAATTTGCTTCCAGAAGAAGTAGTGATCGATGTTCTTCTAAATGTAGGTCCATTATTCCCTGAGAAGTGTCTCATTTAACAACAGTGCTGGGGACAAGGTTTCCTTTGACCAGAATGGACAGCTAGTAGCTGGATTTGATGTTATCAACTGGGTTAGTTCCTCAAACCAGTCTATAGTGAAAGTTGGGAAGATGGATCCTGACCAAGTATTTACCATCAACAAAGATGCCATAACATGGCACAGCTGGTTTAACCAGGTAAAAGGCATCCATCAGCAATTTGTTAGCTGCTCTTTGATAGCTTTGTAAGTGCTAAGTCACCATCATGTTGTCTAAAATTTATTTTAAACATGAGCAAAGGAAATATATATGTATAGAAACATACAGCAACTGACCATCTGAAATAGAATTTTATTGATTTTGTATATGCGATGAGCCTGTTATAGTGTTCCAGGACTGGTACAATATTGTGGGATGAAGCCATAACATAATCAACTTCATGTAGTTTTCATATCAAAAGGCTTTCTCTCTCTTATTTATGATTAGGCCCAGCCTCTTTCTGTATGTACTGAGAGCTGCCATCCTGGTACTAGCAAGAAAGTGAAGGAGGGGGAGCCATTTTGCTGCTATGATTGCATCCCATGTCCAGAAGGGAAGATTTCAGAACATGAGGGTAAGATTGGGTACAAAGATTGAATGCAATCCAGGAAAGCTTATTTTATTCTCTACTGTTTGGAATGGATATGAACTAGACCAGTGTTTCCCAACCTTTTTTGGGCAAAGGCACACTTGTTTCATGAAAAAAATCTCGAGGCACACCACCATTACAGCCCCGTGACGTCAGCGCGCAGCGTCACGCCGGGAGGGACATGAATTGCTAGCAAATTACATAATCACCTCCTTGAGGGCTGGCTCATCTTCTCCGAAGGCAGAACCCCATTAATTAACAGCACAGACTCACACCATAGCCAAGACGAGGGGGGAAAACCTCAGTCATGCACAGTCATGCACATGTGGGGGCTAAATGAGGACGAAGACCGGGCAGAGAGCAGGGTTCAAATCACCCCACCTGGCCAGGACAATCCCTGGGTGCTCCCTTGGGCCTGACCCACCTCGCAGGGCTGTTGTTGCGAGGATAACACGGGGAGAACCACGCGCGCTCCCGGGAGCTCCTTGGAGGAGAAAGCGGGCGATGAATGCAATGCACGAAATATATGAGAGGCGACCAGGTTTTGCAGGTGAGGGGCCCCCGCCAGCCTCCGCTTCCAACACCCGGCGCAACGACGCCGAAGTTTCCCCCCAGGCTCGGCTCGGGGAGCAGCGCTGCTCCCCCCCGGTTCCCCTTCGCCCTCCCGGCTCTCTCTGCCGCCCACTGGGGACCCCCCTCACCTGCCAAGTCCGGAGCGCCGGTGGAAGTTGCATGCATGCATGCAGGGCGCCGCGTTGCCATTGCATTGCACTGCACTCCATGCAACGCCTGCACGCATGCATTGCCTTGCACGCCCGCCAAGGGGTCTCCCCGCGGTCCGATGCGTCCCCTCCGGCGCGGATGCAGCATTGCAAAAATAAAAAAACCCCGACGCAGCCCTACCTGGGGGGCAGCCTCCGCCTCCGCGGGGATCCCCGGGCTCCATCCTGCCGCCCGATCTCTGGGGGGCGCAGGCAGGCTGCGCGGGGTCTGCGCGGAAGAGCCCCTGCCCGCCCGGCCGCCGCCGCTGCGCTCATTCCATGGCCGGGAGAAGAGCGCTTCAAACAAAACGCCCAGCCCGCCAGGCCACGCTGGGAAACGTAGTTTGTGCACCCCGCGCGGGCGCGGAGCCCAAGGGCAAGGGGACTACGGATCCCGGCAGCCCCCGCGCCGGGGACGGAGGGGGAGAGGCCGGGTGCAGGGATGGAGGGACGGGTGGGCGAGCGAGTGAGTGAGTGGCAGCCGCCAAGCCTTGGCCGAGAGCCAGGAAGGGCCTCCCCGGAGGAGGAGGAGGAGGAGGAGGGAGGCGCAGAGCGGGAGGGAGGGAGGGAACCCCAGGGGTCATCTAGTGACGGCGCCCCAATCGAAAATTTGACTTAAAAAAAATAACCTTTCAATTTTTTAATTTTTCCCACGGCACACCAGGCAACATCTCGCGGCACACTAGTGTGCCGCGGAACAGTGGTTGGGAAACACTGAACTAGACAAAAAATAAATACAATCTGTACATTTTTGTGGAATCATACATCCAGCGCCGCAACCCCAGAGTTGGCCACGACTGGACCTAATGGTCAGGGGTCCCTTTACCTTTACCTTTACTTTACATCCTTCCTTATAGTCAAAATAGCTTTCATCAGGTGTTCTGCCTGGATACTTGAAGGCAAACAAATGTATAGAGGTGGGGGCATGATTGTTGTCCCCACAGAAATATCAACATATAAACCTCCTCCACTCTTGACCTTTGTGTGATCAACAGGAAGCTCTAAAAGTGGTTTCTGAATACATGCTTAAAAACCATGCTTAAAAACTGGAACCCTCATAAAGTAGCATTCATTTTCATGAGGGTACTTGAAACATAGGAGCCAACTCCAGGGCACTCTGGGTGCTCGGGCACCCACAATAATAAAATTGTGGGGCCAGACATCCACAAAGACAATGAGAAAAGTGGGAAGCAGCAGCAGTGCTTTCTTTGGGAGAGAAGCATTTCAGTCCCACCCTCCACAGGCAGCGTCTTACCCTGCCTCTGAGTCCAAGCTCCTTCCTTTGGAAAAGGGTGCCTCGCTGTCTGCAGAGAGGAGGAGGAAGAAGAGTCGGAGCCCCTGACCACCAAAATGCAGATCCCAGATAGTTATCATGTGGTCATTTTTCTTATCCACACCCTGGGCTCAGAAGCAACAGGCTCCCTGTGCTTGGATACAATTGTGGTTTGAGTGTGGCCTTTTCTTTTGACACATTTCACACATGCTCAGAGGTGCCTGTAACTTATGCTATTGGCATTTTGGTGAGATTGATAGTATTAACTGAGAGTATGGATATAAATAATAACAACATTATGAACTCCATTATGAACTTTGAAAGAGCTACTCTCAGAAAGTTGGGCACACAAACACACACATACACAGTATACATATGGTGTGTATGTGTGTGACATATGATAGTTGGGAAATTTGTGACATTTATCCAAGACTGCTAGCAAATATTTTCTTTTTCAGATATGAATTATTGTTACCAATGCACCGATGAAAATTACCCAAATGAAAACAGAGATTTATGCATTCCCAAGGAAGTAAGCTATTTGACTTTTCAGGAACCATTGGGGCTCACTTTAGCCTGTTTGTCTCTTTCATTTTGTTTGATCACAATTCTCATGCTAGGGACCTTTATGAAGCACCATGACACCCCTATTGTCAAAGCTAACAACCGGGACCTCACCTACATCCTCCTTTCCTCCCTGTTGATCTGCTTCCTTTGTGCTTTGCTATTCATTGGCCAACCTCAGAAGGTGACATGTCTCCTCCGGCAAACTGCTTTTGGCATTATCTTCTCAGTGGCTGTTTCTTCTGTACTGGCAAAGACCATCATGGTGTTTCTGGCTTTCATGGCCACAAAACCAGGATCCAGGATGAGGAAATGGGTGGGGAAAAAACAAGCATATTTCATTGTTGTTTCCTGCTCACTTGTTCAAATGGGCATTTGTACTGTGTGGCTGGTGATATCTCCTCCATTCCCAGATGTTGATACGCAGTCAGTGACTAAAGAAATTATACTAGAATGTAATGAGGGTTCTGCTATGATGTTTTATTTTGTTTTGAGTTACATGGGCCTGCTAGCAATTGTCAGTTTCACTGTGGCTTTCCTTGCCAGGAAGTTACCTGACAGTTTCAATGAAGCCAAGTTTATCACTTTTAGCATGTTGGTCTTTTGTAGTGTTTGGCTCTCTTTTGTTCCAACCTACTTGAGCACCAAAGGGAAATACATGGTAGCTGTGGAGATCTTTTCTATCCTAGCTTCCAGCTTTGGGTTGCTGGGCTGCATCTTTTTTCCAAAATGGTACATTATTTTATTGAGGCCTGAGCTGAATAACAAAGAAATGCTAATTAGAAGAAAGTGTTGAAAAATTTATCAGTCTGTATCTTTGATTCAGTGGTGTTTGTGCATTCATGAAACATTTGCTTTATGAACAAAGAACATGTGCGTGTATCAAACTCTTTAGTTTCAAATTGGATCAGCATTTTTTCTGGAGTTCCATAAACAACAAGCCCACCTAAAAGCAACATTGTTTAGTCCACATTTTACCAGCTTCCCTGCAAGGATATCATGGGAGAAGTTTGTCAAAAGCCTTACTGAAATCAAGATGCTCTACATCCAGATCATTTCCCAGATCAATCAAGATTGTAACTCTTTCACAAAGTCGGAAGGAAGGAAGGAGGGAAGGAAGGAAGGAAGGAAGGAAGGAAGGAAGGAAGGAAGGAAGGAAGGAGAAAAAGAAAGAATTGCCTGGCCTGACTTGTTCTTGTAAAATCTATGCTGGTTCTTAGTAATTACAGCATCCTTTCCTAATTGCTCAGAGACCAACTGTTTAATTATCTGTCCTAGGACCAGATCTGTTCTAGAATAAATCTGCCAGTGTTGATTTCTCTTAGTTTCTTGGTTCTCCATTCTTAAATTCAGTTTTCTTTCTTCCCTTTTTTTAATATAGTAGATTTTATATAAAAAGGGGAGCTGGCTTCCCCTCCCCCCACAAAAAACCCCAAATCCTTTCAGAGAGTGGAATTTTGCAGGACTGATCCCAAGGCATTTGACAAGGTGCCCCATGATATTCTTGTAAAGAAGCTGGTAAAATGCGGTCTTGACTATGCTACCACTCAGTGGATTTGTAACTGGCTGACTGACCGAACCCAAAAGGTGCTCATCAATGGTTCCTCTTCATCCTGGAGAAGAGTGACTAGTGGGGTGCCACAGGGTTCTGTCTTGGGCCCGGTCTTATTCAACATCTTTATCAACGACTTGGATGATGGACTCAAGGGCATCCTGATCAAATTTGCAGATGACACCAAACTGGGAGGGGTGGCTAACACCCCAGAGGACAGGATCACACTTCAAAACGACCTTGACAGATTAGAGAACTGGGCCAAAACAAACAAGATGAATTTTAACTTGGGCAAAAAAAAATGAGAGGCACAAATACAAGATGGGTGACACCTGGCTTGAGAGCAGTACATGTGAAAAGGATCTAGGAGTCTTGGTTGACCACAAACTTGACATGAGCCAACAGTGTGACGCGGCAGCTAAAAAAGCCAATGCAATTCTGGGCTGCATCAATAGGAGTATAGCATCTAGATCAAGGGAAGTAATAGTGCCACTGTATTCTGCTCTGGTCAGACCTCACCTGGAGTACTGTGTCCAGTTCTGGGCACCACAGTTCAAGAAGGACACTTACAAACTGGAACGTGTCCAGAGGAGGGCAACCAAAATGGTCAAAGGCCTGGAAATGATGCCTTATGAGGAACGGCTAAGGGAGCTGGGCATGTTTAGCCTGGAGAAGAGGAGGTTAAGGGGTGATATGATAGCCATGTTCAAATATATAAAAGGATGTCACATAGAGGAGGGAGAAAGGTTGTTTTCTGCTGCTCCAGAGAAGTAGACACGGAGCAATGGATCCAAACTACAAGAAAGAAGATTCCACCTAAACATTAGGAAGAACTTCCTGACAGTAAGAGCTGTTTGACAGTGGAATTTGCTGCCAAGGAGTGTGGTGGAGTCTCCTTCTTTGGAGGTCTTTAAGCAGAGGCTTGACAACCATATGTCAGGAGTGCTCTGATGGTGTTTCCTGCTTGGCAGGGGGTTGAACTCGATGGCCCTTGTGGTCTCTTCCAACTCTATGATTCTATGATTCTATGAAGGCTTCTCCAGGTCAAGCTTTTATGTTCAATAAGATTGCCATAGCATAGCACAGCTGATTTGGTCAAACTGTCAGCAGTTTGAGTCCTAAGGTCTGATCCTTGAGTTCAGATTGAGTCACTGTCCTGATGTCCAAAATTAAATTCTTTATATTACTTTAATTTTTTTTGCTATATATAAAAACCTACAGTAAAATCACACATACATCCTGAAAATTTTTAAACAGTATTGAACCATGTGTAGTCACAATATGTGACATTAAGTATGCTGTCACAATGAACCACATAATTCTGATAATAATGAGCAAGAATTTAAATGAGCTGGTTTTTCACCAGTAGAAATGGATCTATCAGTTTGTAGAGCTATTTTTTTATTATGGGCTGCTACAAAATTTATTCTCTTCTTCATGGACTATTGACAATTGACTATTTGGAAGAATGTATTTAAATCTGACGATTCACTACTTTGAAACTATTTTGCTGGGCATCAGCTATATCGTCCTACCATTTATAACACTGACTTGCTTGTATATGATGGTAGAGAGTGACATCATCGATTAGTGGCTTGCATGTAGCTTCAAAAAAAGTGCAAAGGTCCAAATCTGAAAGAATCCATGTCCATTTTTCCCAAGGTTGCTATTGTTTCATATGTTGCTCAGGCCCAACCATCGTAGTTCTAGTAAGCAAATGAAGGTGGGGAATATAACCATGGCAGCATTTTGCTACTATGATTGTATCCCATGTCCAGAAGGGAAGATTTCAGACCAAAATGATGAGAAATTTAGCATGAAGAGTTATCATGTTTGATCATTGCATGTAGTCCAGTGACGGATATTGTGGCGTTTGCCTCCTAGGTGGGTCATAAGGAAAGGGTTAAATGAGTGAGATGTGATTGGTCAGTGGGAATGCAAGGGAGGAGTAAAAGTTAGAGTGGGAGGTTTTGAAAGTCAGTTGAGGTTTGGGAGTTGAAGAAGGAAGAGGAAGGATTAGGTGTGGGTTGGTGGAGTTGTATTGTGAGAGAGTGAGAGGAATTGTCAGGTGGAGTCAGATAGATAGTTGGGAATAATCAGTTTGAAGTTGTTAGGAACTAAGAGTTAAGAAACTGACAAGAAAAATTAACTGAAACCATTAGCTTGTTCCTACATTTAAAAATAAACTTGATTACTTGTTAATGTTAACAATTGTCTGGACTCCATGTGTCCCCGTGAGAAGCGGGGTGGTGGCAGCGAAGAAAGCAATCACAGTGGTGGCACAGGGTCAATAGACCATCAAATGTCCAGGGGCCCTGTGTGATCGCCACAGATATCTACACCATAGTTTCTTTACTTTCTTGTTTCAAATGTGGTGACTGAATGAATGAACTTTATTACGGTCACTGACCAGGATAAAAACAACAACATATAAATAAAATAGCAGTTAGGATTTATTTTTTTTTAACTGATGAATGTTGGAGCAAATAAGGACAAATAAACAAGCATAGGATAAAACATCTGAATAAAATACAAGATTAAACACAGATAATGGATGGATAAAATCTGATAATTAAAACAGATAAGAACTAACAAATGTGGTGGAAAATAAATGGCTGGACTGATGTGGGGAGGAAAATCTGCCACATACCCCTTTGGTAAGACATACTGTGAATTGGGCAAATGATTTCAGAGTTGTGGCATCAATTCTCTGGAATGTTATTCTCTTAGAAATGAAGGAGCCATGGCAATATGTTTTTGATGTTTGTTTAAAACCTTCATTTTTCTTCTAAGATTTCCCAAATTAGAACATTTCATCCCTGCAGTTTTTAATGCTTCTTTGGTTTTATGTTTCAATACTGTTTTAGGATTAACTTTATACTTCAATTTATGTACACCATTCTGGTATTTATTGAATGCACTGCAGTTTATAAATTTGTTTGCTTATTCCTTCCTTCCTTTAAATAATGATAGACCTGTCCAGACACTGCAACCTAATTGTCAAAGAAAAAGACAGAGAAGCTGGCCTAAACTAGGGCCACTTTATTTCAGAATAAAACTCATTAAAAACTCCTGCAGAGGAAAAACAGTACTGGAGCAGAAGAACACCTGAACAGATGGGCGAGGTATAAATAATAAATTATTATTGCAGCCTCTAAGGTGGCCCAAACCCCTGCCTGCAGGAACTGAAGGCTTTGCTCTCCAGCCTGCCTCCCATTCCCAGGCCACACCATGAAGGTGTGTAGGAAAGCCTATGCTGCTACACTTCCCAAGGCTTCATAACTTTATGCCTATGAAGCAATTTAGCCTTAAGGGCTATCAAGCTATATCCTACCCCACAGTCCCAGACTAGGGAGCTATGCCCTAATTCCTTAGGCAAGGTTGGGTCGCCCATTGGCTATAGCTATCCAGTTAAGTTCGTTCCCATCCCAAAGTCATCCCCCTTGGCTGATTTTAATTTAAGATCAAAATACCAGCGACCCAGTTCAATTCCAGCTCATGTGTCTGCCTATTGGGACACAATGTGTGGACACAATTTCCCCTTCAAATTGTGTTTCAGAAACTTTGAGAGCCAGTGTGGTGTAGTGGTTAAGAGCGGTAGTCTCGTAATCTGGGGAACCGGGTTCGCATCTCCGCTCCTCCACATGCAGCTGCTGGGTGACCTTGGGCCAGTCACACTTCTCTGAAGTCTCTCAGCCCCACTCACCTCACAGAGTGTTTGTTGTGGGGGAGGAAGGGAAAGGAGAACGTTAGCCGCTTTGAGACTCCTTAAAGGGAGTGAAAGGCGGGATATCAAATCCAAACTCTTCTTCTTCTTTTCTTAAATTTTATAAATTTTATGAATGGCATTACAATGGATCTCCATGATAGACTGGGGTGGAGAGAGAAAAAATATACCCGTTTGAGCAAGGGCCAAATGGGTGGCATGCTTCTGCTTTCAACTATACATTTTGGGGATATTTTTTCCCTAGGAAAAAGAGATGTCTATGTATACAGGGCAAGTTTTGAGGCAAAAATGTCCATTTGACTGTTTGGATGTGATACGCTTTTTTTAAGCTGTCCAACTATCTTTGTTTAGGAATTCCACATGGAATCTTCAATTTTACTTGGTTATTACCTTCCCCTTTAATTATATTGAGGACTGTATTTAATTTTGCTGCTTGTCAAAAACTTCATAGGGATGTAATTGCAGCTTCCACTATTACAATTAATAACACAGTACCTGAGAGCTACTATAAATATAC